TTATTATCTGACAGTTGATAAATCATTCCAGGTTCAAGGGTCTCAAGACACCTTTTTTAGGTGCATCCCGTTCCATAACTAATAAGACAATTGTGTGCTGGAATTTAGTTACTCCTCTGCCCTTAAACTGAAGGATGTTAAAACTTTCTTATAAAATTTCAGGGCACAAAGCTAGATATTATTGTGAGGGGAAGTTACACAAGGAAGCAGTCAGGGTATAGATAAGAGAAACAAAGGAAGCTGCTTTCTGTCGCTTAGGATATTTCTCTGTCTTGTCCAGTTTGTCCATCTCGGAGGTGAGCACCCTAATGCCCTTCAACTATTAGATTCCAGTTCCATTAGCTCTATCCAGTATAATAAATACTGAGGCCCAATGGGTTGTATTCTAATTGGAAGTGATCCAAACAATAGAACAGACTGTGTTTCTGACATCATCTTTCAATATGCCCATGTATTAAATGAAAACAACAAGAAATCTGGGCAAATCTTATACTTTAACTAACACATTCTCCCCGTGCAGACTTGGAAAAAAATGTATGGTAGTGACCATGATAGAAGAAGATTTTGTTTTTTTGTAATCATTTTATCTTATGGTATCTTATTGACATTGCTGACAATCCTGACAAGGGCAGGATTGGTACTAGCCAAGCTTTTCAGGTGCTACATGGTAGAAATAGACAAGCCGAGCTTCCCTGACCTAAATAGTTAATCATAAGGGATAATAATAATAATAACAATAATGATGATGATGATAAAGTTGGAAGGGACCTTGGAGGTCATCTAGTCCAACCCCCTGCTCAGGCAGGAAACCCTATACCATTTCGGACAAATGACTATCCAGTTTCTTCTTAAAAACTTCCAGTGTTGGTGCATTCACCGCTTCTGGAGGCAGATTGTTCCACTGGTTAATTGTTCTAACTGTCAGGAAGTTTCTCCTTAGTTCTAGGTTGTTTCTCTCTTTGGTTAGTTTCCACCCATTGCTCCTTGTCCTGCCTTCAGGCGCTTTGGAAAATAGCTTGACTCCCTCTTCTTTGTGGCAGCCCGAGATATTGGAACACTGCTATCATGTCCCTGCTCGTCCTTCTCTTTGTTAAACTAGACATACCCAATTCCAGCAACCGTTCCTTATATGTTTTAGCCTCCAGTCCCCTAATCATTTTTGTTGCTCTTCGTTAGATGCTGTAATTCATAAATTGAGTCTGAAAATATACTATCACTGTACACCAATATCTTCCCTTCCTTCCTTCCTTCCTTCCTTCCTTCCTTCCTTCCTTCCTTCCTTCCTTCCTTCCTTCCTTCCTTCCTTCCTTCCCCATCTTTATCATTTTTATAAATAACTCAAGGGGGTGAACATATCCAACACACCTTCTCCTCCTATTTTTCTCACTACAACAATGCTGTGAGATGGATTGGACTGAGAGAGAGTGACTGGCCCAGGGTCACCCAGCTGCTTTCATGGCTAAGATGGGATTTGAACGCAGTCTCCTGCTTTCTAGCCTGGGGCCTTAGAACAAAGCCAATAGCATAGAGGCCTGTCAATAGCAAAATAAGTATGCCTTCTTATAGAGGAAGGTTTTTCTTTTTCATCTTAAAATGTATCTGGATGATTATTATTGCATTAAGATCAAACACCTCCACAGAGTTGGAAATGATCCATCAAAGATCTCCGACTGCGTGCTCCAGTATACAAGTATAGAGATGCCAATTATAAAGTCTTCACATGCATCATAGACTCAGTTTTACAAAATAACACCATCTGCCATTCATTCAGCTTCCTACGCTTATATTTTACTATTGAATAAAATAAAGCAAGTAAATGGGACGAATATGTGTGCTAAAAGATTATTATCGCTCAGCCAGATCCAGTTCAAGGATGGTAAAGCTGGGGGTTTATATCATCCCTGTCCATTGGTTATGACATTTGTGATGATTGTTGTATCCATCCATTTCCAGAAAGTTACAAGTCCATGAACACTTGTCTCATTCTTGATACCTTTAACATTTGGACCACTTGTGGCTGTCCAATTTGCTGTGAGTAACTGTAACTCAGTGTTTTCCAATAAAAAAATGTTTTCAAGAGCAGAGCATCTTTAGGGGAGGTTAAAACAAAAGTTGTTGGCTGCAATTGATCATAAGGTTGCAACTGTCATTTTGATGTTTTTGATTCTCTTGTAACCATCTTTGCTTATCACTTAATATTTATAGTATTTATATTTACAGTAATTATAAGTAATAAAGTTTTCAATGGATTAAATATACAGTTTCTTCTTTTCTGACATTACAGTGCTATAACTCATGTTTGGTGATAATGATTCGATCACTATGAGTTAAAAAAAACAAGATTCAAACATCTCATTGAAAACAAAAATGCAAAATTTTACCATTAGAATTTAAACCATTTAACTTTTGTTTAGGAGTTTCAGATATCTTTGGAACAGTTTGCCACATTTTAGCTTGCTTGAACCATCACTAATTTCTTCCAGCTAAACCTTTTCTTTCGTGGCTTAGATGTATTTAGCATGAATCATGCTCATGAATACGCCCACAGATCCAAAGTGCAGGTATTCAGTGTGATAAAAATAAACAAGAGCCATTGTCTGTGTCTGCCCTAACCCAGGTCAAGTGCCACACTACCTAGAGCCATTCAGATATGGGTCTGTGCCTCAGCTGATTTTTATCATCAGGTTTCACATACTATGTTAAGTTGTAAAATATAAAGCCATTATTTTTGGGATGAAATACGATTAGTATTTCTCATACCATATTGAGTAAATCTCAATGATTAAGGTCACAGAACATATTGAGCCAAAATCAAAATGGCCTACATTTTGATTTAGAACAATATGCAAACTCAAACACAGACGATTTCTGCTAGGAGGACATTAGTCTAGCAAAAATCATTTTTGTCTCATGAAGCTCCAATGTTGTTTAAGATCACTGATTTTTGTCAAATAGTTTCTCCTCACAGCACTTTCTTTCTGGATACATTCAAAGGTTTTTACTTGTGGGACAGAGCTACTGCTCCTTATGAAAAATCACGTATTTGAGGATCTTTCAGTTAAAAGGTATGTAATAAACTTTTTGACTAAAACTCCAATCTGGAGGAGTGTCCTATGGCTATGAATGGCATTCTTATATAGTGCAGAAACACAATGTGTGTAGTTATATCCTAATATGTTGTGTAAATCTTAATTTATGCCATAAATCATGGAGTAGCAAATTATAACAGTGTATTATTTGAACCAACTCTGTGTACATGTCTGCTTCTTCACCAAATGGTTAGACCAGGGGTAGGCAACCTTGGCTCTTTTATGACTCATGGACTTCTACTCCCAGAATTCCTGAACCAGCACAGCTGGCTCAGGAATTCTGAGAGTTGAAGTCCACGTCATAAAAGAGCCAAGGTTGCCTACCCCTGGGTTAGACCATAGGGAATTTTCAGAGATGCTCTATTATGTGAAAGGAACTCAGTTCCACTGCCAACAAAGATGCTGAAACAAATATATTATAAAAAGGTCAAGCCTTTTGTACCCCTTTAAAATTTGTTGTTGCATCTAGCAAAGCGGAAACACTAAGAGCCACATGAGACTATGGTGGTCCCTCCCAGCTATCAAAGGCACAGAGTTTCCTCCACATGCTGAACGAGTTTACAGTGTTTCCAAAGTACACAATCAAAACCTTTCTCCATTCACGTTGTTCCCTGAAATGAACACTTCACAAAACTACAATTACTAACCTTTGCCTTCCAAATTGTCCTATTGTTGTAAACTGTTTTCATGTGTGTTCCAGTTATTATTTATATCAGGATCATTTGATTTTCACTGTTTTTTAAGGAGCTCAATCTTTGTTGCTTTTAGGAAAACCAGGTCTATAAAGTATTGGCATGTGCCAATTAACTGGGATTACAAAATTACTACTTTATTGTTATAGAGAGATTACAGCAGAATCTTGAAAAACAGTGAGTTTTCTCCAACTTCTTTTATTCCAAACACAATCAAGACAAGATTATTTTGAATTGTTTTGACAGCTTCCCCTTTGTAAATTTTGTAAATTATAATTCTATCCAAATTCGACTTGTTTGTTTATTTGTTTTATCATATTTATATGACTGCCCATCTCACAAACAATTATTTCAGGGTGGCATACAACAAAGCAAAACAATATATACAGACAAGAATTAATACTATTATTACAAACATTTTTGTGTGTGTACGTTGTGTGTGTTTTAGTTTTGTGCCTTTTATAATTTTACAGCAGATGTTTATTTTACTGGAGCTTCCTCAATATTTCACCAGTCCTCTATTAATATTTAACAATGGTTAGATAAATGTCTTAGTGTAGTACATGAATCGGATCTACGTCTCTTTACAATGATCCCATCAAAAATATTCATGTATATTTGTCTGCATATACACACAAAGACTGATTAACTTTCCAGAAGAATACTGGCGTCTGCACAAAGTAATGATATAGACAAAATGGTCAGTTCTATTCATAGGTGGCTCAACAATTTTCTTAAGTCATTCTAATGCTTGGAATGTAAGAGCTATAGTGGAGAAGATGACTCATTTCTCCTTGCTTTTCCACTCCCATAGCAAAGGCTGGATTTGGGGTCTGTATGCAGAAAAAAAAATGATAGAAGCATTTTTAGAAACAAAAGAAATTTTTGTAGAAAAGCTGGTGCAGACCTCTCTGTACAGATCTTAGATGGGCAGTATAATTCTTGCCTATAGAATTATTGCTTCATATCTCTATCTACCTTCAGTTTCTGTGTTCATAAATGAACTAAAAGATTGTCATAATCTCCTAAGTCTCCAGTGCTCATTTCACTGATGGAAGATAAACCCAGGTAAAAGATGCCTCTAAAATCATTTATGTCTTGAAGAAATCAATATGGAACATCATAACAGAGCCTATTGGTATATCTGGAAGATATCACTTATATTTCTGTAAGTACTTGACAGAAATTACAATTGACAATTGATATGTCTATTTTTTTATTTTATTTAAATTAACAAAATAAATTTTACATGCAAGTCTGAAATCAATTATTAGGTAACAAGAGTAAATTGGAACTTTGGCTGAATTTTATTTACAAAGCTCACATTATTTGTTACATAGATAAAATATAAAATGTTAATGTTAGACCTTATTCAGTTTAGTAAACACAAGACAAATAGCAGAATTCTATTCAACATAACACGAGCATAATATAAATATTATATTTTAAATTATACTTTCAAGATTTGCACCATCAGCCACAAAATGCAACAGCACCATGAAGATGTCAGAGATGATATCCCTGGGCAAATATTTCAGCAGAATAAAGGCATGCAGAAATAGGAATCACCTGGTTGCTGAGAAAAATTATACAGATAAAATAACTATCAAAATCTAATTAACTTATTTAATTCACTATGGTACCATTCTCCCCAATACTTAATACTTACAAATGAAAATAAAATTGCAATCTTATATGCTAAGCTACCAAAAAGTTTTGAGATACCTAAATAGGGACTATCTTTCATATTATGCATTGACTGGGAAATCTCTTTTTACCACTTTCTGAGTATATCAGAGCTCTCCTAGATCTGCTGTTTTCTGGCCAATATCATTTGTTAATTGATTATTAAACTGCTTGATGCTGTTTCTTATCTTAGTTATATCCACTTACAATGAGAGGCAATCAATATTTCTTTCCAATTTTTCACTTGCCTGCTACGTACTGCTGCGTCTTGCAGAATTCTATATGGCTGCCCAGAATCCTTTTACCAAATATAGGTAGTCCTTGAATTATAATCATAGTTGAGCCTAAATTCTGGTTGTAAGTCATTGCAGTTGTAAGTTCAGTCACCATGTGACTGGATTTGATTTACAACCATTTTTATGACAGTTGTAAAGCAAGTCACTGCAGTCATTAAATGAATCATGTGGTCATAAGTCTAAATTCAGCTTATCCAATGGGCATATTTTGCTAAAAAAATGGCAAAAAAATAATAATCACAAAACAAGATAATGTGATTGCAGAATGCTATAACCAGTTGTAAATGCAAGCTAGTTGCCAAGTGCCTGAAATATGATAATGTGATGGTGTGATGTCGTAGTCATAATGGGTCACAAATGACTTTTTCTGAGCCCATTGTAACTTTGAATGGTCATTAAGCAACTTATCAAGGACTACTGGTACTGCTTGTTCTTAAATAAAGCATATTTATGCCCTAAGACCCTTTAGGGATATCTTTAAGATTTGCTATGAAGAACACTGCAACTATAGCTTTGTGAATTTACTCCTGCTACAGAGTACAAGAGAAAACTACAATTACCAAGGTTCAAAAGGAACGTAACAAGAAAATTAGCATAATATGGTATCTCACACCTTTGCAAGAGGTCAGCTGTATAGAAAACTTGTATAATTTAGCCTGGGGGATTGTTCTTGTTTTATGAATAAAATTGTAAGCAATTTTATCACACCTTAATTGTAGGTTAGTGAGGTTTCCATATTACTTAATGGAGGAATCTGAGCTCCTAAGGCCACATACAACCCTGAAGTTTTTTTTGCCAAATTGAAATGTTAATGTAATGCTTTAGGAAAAATTATTATGTACATAGTGAGAAACCACCATGTCAATTTTATTTTGGCTTTTATTTATCTTCTGCTTGTTATTAGAGTGCATCTCCAAACACAATGACCAAAGGTCAAATACCATCTCCACTTCTCCAAAGTCATACATTCCTAGTTGAATAGCTACATCTAAACATCTCCTTAACCAGTACAGGACTATACAATAAAGTTTTCAAGCTGTATCCAATGAATCAGAAGAAAAATGCCTGCTGTTTATTGTTGACCTCTTCACATACAAGTTCTCATTTTAATATCACACTACTAGGATCCAATAAGATGCAGATCATATTACTGCCATAAGCTAATCTAAGGCCATAATTATATGCACATATACTTACATGATGACAGCAAGGCATATTGAGCACAGGAGCAATTGAAGAATTGTATTCTAACATTATTCTCATTTCTGTACTTTGAAGCAAGTGCCAAATTAGCCCTGATACTAAATGTAGCTTTACATATAAATACTGTATGGATTTTTCAAAATGCAAACAGAATTGGGTGAGTGAGTTGCTGATTTTTAGGTTCATAAGATAAACAGAAAAGAGGAATTTACCTTTCCTTGTCCTGTTGCCATTACAAGGGAAATCCTTTCTCTGAATATATTTGAATGGAGAGGAAATATATTAGCACCATACAATTTGTAGTTTGTCCCTAAGTCCACTGAACTCTGCATGATTTTCTTCCCAAGTCCTAATAGCCATAGAATCCTATAATATCCTAACCATAGTGACACTTAAGTGATGAAATGTGTTCTATGATGTCATATTGAACGTTCCATTCTTTCTATTTGCATTGTGATGTAATATGTAAGTACTCTACGGGCAGAGTTTGTATGCTGACATAATACATACTCTGTCACTTGCCCTCCTCTGGTTTACCTATCAGTCCAGATGCCTACACTAACAGTATATGAATCAATTATCTTGAGAATGCTAAATGCATTAGAGTCAGTTGATTTCTGGATGGAGTACATTGCAATCACTACACCAGCATTCTTCAATCTTTCATAATCATGTTGCAGGAAGTCTTGCAAAATACTGTTCAAGGGAACTTTTCAAGATGGCTATTGTGGGCAATATAAGTAGTTACAAACACCAAAGTACCATAAAGCTATCATACCTTCTATACCAATTCCATCCAGCACACTTTCAAATAATGCTCTTCCCAGCATTTTCATTTTCTAAAAAAAAATATATTGAACCATATTTCTCAGTCTTCTGTTGTTGAAAATATTTTCACCTAAATCTATTATAGTAAAGGAGAAAAGAAAGAGTTAAGTTCATGAATTCCCTCATTATCTCTCCCACATGGAGACCAGTATTGTGGCAGGTCATTATTAAGGAGAAGAAATGAGACTTCAGAGATTATAAGGATACTGGTAAAGATTACCTTCATAATTGGGAAGTTTAAATACATAGGACAATGGTGCTAATTGTTTTACATTTATTTTATTTAATTAGAACTATTATCTAAATTAATTCAGTTAAACAACATTTGTCCTTTTTATGACTAGGTTTTGCATAATTTGAAAGAATGTGACAATTCTACTTTCCACAGAGTCTATGTGCAAGTTTCTCCTTGTCTGATATCTATAATCATCAATGACCAAAAAAGTATAGAATTTCCTTCATACATATAATATGCATGAGATATAGATAAATTTTATAGTCTAGAGTTTCCTTAGAATTATTTTAATGAGGGCAATGCTCTTGTGTATGTTTGTGTATTATCTCTCTCACTAAATTATTCTCCCTAGTATACAGTAGTTGTACAAAGCATTAGTGCTCTGCAAAATATGCTAGCATGTACGATGCATCTCTCCTCAAAGCATTAAGGCAGTTGCATTTTTTGTAAGGCTTGTGTAGCTGCTTTCAAGTCTGTCCAGTTGTCAGTCACTTCCATTCACTGGCAGTTCTATAGAAGGTACATGCAAACGGTCAAGGACAGTCTTCAATGCAGCTGTGACCAACCTTCTAGAGGACAAATCTCCTTTAATTATTTGAATAGGGGTGCTTTGCTTGCACATTCAAATGTTGCAAAGAGTCTGTTTTGAATGCTTCTCATAGCTCTACTGTCCAGGATAAAGTCCATATAAAGTCTTGGTTTGCAATTTTGCAATGCAGATCAAGTCAATAGTTACCTTGATTATATTTTTGAAGAGTGGAATAAGTTCTTTAGTTGATGTAGTTTAGACATGGAACACTTAAGGTTAACAAGCCCATGCTGAGATTTTATTTTCCTTAATAACCTTACATGCAAATATAGCATAGTCTACAAGTATAGCAAACAGCCTATGGAAGTTATTAGTCTCATCAAATTAAAAGGGCAATTCAATCCAGAAAATGTCTTAGATTTAGATACTTCTGCATATTATCCCACATGAAGAACCATGTAATGTTCTCCACATAAAAGAATCTATGGAAATAGAAGGATCTCCCCTGTATCACAGGATTACATAAAAATGCTTATTTTTGTTAACCTGTCAAGAAAATCTTTTGGCATGCATCTTTCAATATGGACAAAATAATCAAAACCTTTACTGCAATATAATCATTGGTTAATGCAGTGATACAGCATGTCTGCATCCTTGGCTGCTTTTCTGAGTATGTATGTCACTGAATGGACTTGGCGATGATGAAGATATGGAATGACACTCTAATTTAAATATTTATTGCAACAATACAGTGAATTCTATAATAGTGTGTATTGGTTAAGACAGGGGTAGCTTAGCTGGCTCAGGAATTCTGGGAGTTGAAGTCCACGAGTCATAAAAGAGCCAAGGTTGACTACCCCTGGGTTAAGACATCAGGCTAGAAACCAAGAGACTGAATTTATTCTCACCGGCATGAAACCAAATGGGTGACCAGTGGCCATTGCAAACTAGTTTCAAAAATCTTGCAGGAAAACTTCAAGGACTTGTCCAGGCAGTTGCTAGGAATCAACACAGACTGAAAGGCCCACCCCTGGCCCCACCAAAAGGCAAACAATACGAAACTGAATTATCCCCCCCCCCCAAAAAAAAACCAAAAATCTTATCCAGAACTGAAAAAAACCCCTCCTCTTTCTTTCATGGTAAGTATATGGATCTAGTGAAAGAGCAATTTTATAACTGACAGCTTTTGTATGAAAAGTAGGCCTTCAAGGGACCCCTTGGTTATCTGCAGAGTGCATGTAGTTATTAACTTAGACCGGTTATGGTAAAAGAGTTTGGAAAGACTAACCTCAATAATATTACTGTATAAAAACAGGAAAGAAGATACCACCACAAAGAGGCTAAGCCTATTCTTCCAGTGTCTGGAATAAGAAAGAGGGTTCTTCCTCATTTCTTATTGCTCAGGCAGATCTGCTCCACTTATCAGTTCTTGGCCTTGCCACAGTGTGACCAGTGGTGGGATTCAAATATGTGAACACCCAGTTCTCTGTGTGGATGCTGCTTCCAGCGATCCATTCTGGGCCTGGGCAACAAAAATTTAGCTACCAGTTCTGCCGAAGTGGTACGAACTGGCTGAATCCCACCACTGAGTGTGATAGAATATTAAGAGCCTGGAACCAAGTCCTGGAGTGAGCTACACTACTGGCAGAAGCAAATGATGGTATCTTGAGTTAGAGACTAGACACTTCAGGTGGCTGCTTCACAGGTGCTTCACTTCCTGCAAGCAAAATAAATATACCAACAAAAATGAGGATTGTGTAGCCTGGAAAAAGTTGTGATGGGAAAAAACTTATCACATAGGGAAACATAAAAAAAAGACTACATTGTATGCCATCTATTATACTTACTACCTCAGGATTCTTCCACTTTGTTCTGCTGAACATGTAGACCTGGTCCAAATATTGGGACAAGGTTTTGGGAAGAGAACGATAGATTAGATTAATCTCTAAAATATTACTGTTAAAAACAGAAAACCTGAAGGAACAAGGGAATATTTGTCTTAAATTATTTTTGCTAGGTTTTTTGTCATTTTTTAAATAATTGTTGCTATCATTTACCAGTCTTGGTAAATGTTATAGTTCATCTTAGCCAAAAACTCTGAAAACACTTCATTTCCCCAAGGATAATTCAGTGATATCCATTTAGATCTCCAGAAAAACAGCTTGTGACTCCATTTTACTTTCCAGCAGCTCCTTCAAACTCTTGTTCCTGTGTTGAAAATACAAATAGTCAGACAGAGACTGAGTGAATCTATTACTTTCGAAGTGATATTCCTCATTGTGATTCACAAAGTCTCTCTCTCCCCGGCGTTGCTCCCTTCTGTTTTCTTGTTTGTCCTCGATGGTGTCATTGAACTTTTTCTCTTTTCCATCACAGTAGGACTCTCTGAAATCTTTAACCTCATTTTCTGTTTCGCCTGGAGGATCCTGCAGTCTGTTAGGGTTCTTGCCCTTGTCATACATGCGAGGGGAATACTGCTCTGCCCTCTGGCAATTGTCTTCTTCATCATGGCTTGTGTTTTGTTTCGCAATCTCCCTGTCAGAATGAAAGGAAAGTCCTTGCCTGTGGTTCTTTTGGGAAAGGTCAAAAGGTTCTTCCTGTTCTAGGCTTCTTGAGGTATCCGTTTGTGATATGCTCAGTTGTTCCCTTGCAAATCCTAGGATATTTTTTGAACAAGACAGATGCATTAATGGATACATTTCCCATTCCATGTCAATTTTGTAATTACAGAATATTTCAACTTGTGTCTCATGATTATTTTGCAATTTATGGTAGGGAATATAAAAAGAGGGTTCTTTGCTATTTCACTTGGCATTCTTGGCAATTTTGAATAGTTTTTATTGCAGAAATATTGGATTAGTTTGGACTATTATAGAAATTCTAAGTAATACTTGATTTTTATTATATATAGCAATAGAACTTAGACTTATATACCACTTCATAGTGCTTTACAGCCCTCTCTAAGTGGTTTACATCTATTTCACAAAATCTGGTTCAACTAAAGACATGATTTTGATTCTGTTACACAAATAAACTCCAGCAACTTCTAGATGTTAAATAATGTCATTATATTATTGAATGAAATACAAATAAGGCTAGTTACAAGTTTTTACCTTGAGAACGAAATCCTCTTTCCATGACTCCATGTTTGACTTTCATGTGTCTGGTGAGGTTCCCCTTCAAGGTGAATTTGCTAGGACAGTAGAGGCATTTGAATGGCTTGCTGTCAGAATGCAAGTGCATGTGGCCCATTAAATTATGCATTCGATTAAATTCTTTTCCACACAGCTGTCAAAAGACCAAAGATAATCAGAATGAGGCACCTTTTTTCAAAGAGATCTTTTTTTTTTTTAGACATAGCCTGGTTACATTGAGTCAACTTCTCCACAGTTCTGCAGTTTCTCTTTCCAAAGCATAAATCTGCAATATTTCTTCTATTGCCTCCTTTTAATCTCAATCAAAGAATGAACACTTCTCTAAATTGTCAGATTAGGCTTTTCTAGTTCTGGAAATAAAATGAATTATTCAAAAATTGTGTCGTTGAATTGATGCCTGTGAGGCTTCTAGTTCTGAGAGGCTTGACAGAAATTACCCAAAAGTATATTTTTTACAACATGTCAGATTTGACATGGCCAAAAAAGACGAAATCTGAGATAGAAACCTTTGTTCTGACTATAGGCTTATGGTTAGGATATAGATCCAAAATCTGGAAGAAATTCCACTTTTTAATTTCATTCTACAACCATCACAAATAGATAGGTCCTCATGGAAAAGGAATGTCTTTACAGCTAAATTTGATATGCTTCTTTTTCATTCAAATTTGATACTGTACTCACTAAAATGGAGAGTACAGGGGGCTTTGAAATTACTGAATATTCTTTGATCTGGAAACAAAATTATAGCCTAAAAATATAAATATAACAAGCAAGTATTTATATTGGATGCTGGCTGAGTAAATATAAGGAAAAACTCAGATTTACTGCAGAGTAGTTTCTGAATGGTCTTAGGCCTATTTGAGAAATTGTACAAGCTTATTCAGAAACACAGATCACTCTTATTCTAAAAGAACCTTCTTGGAAGTTGTGCCTTCAAGGTTGAATGGACAGTCACTTCCAACATCCCCAGTTGCCATTCCCTGGTGTGATGGGAATGCAATGTATCTGAGTGTGTCAGGTTGGGGGCTAACCATTCTATAAGATGGTGTATGTTTACAATTGGGATTCCTATTGTTTGAAGGAAAATGCATGGTAAGCTACAGGAAAACTAAACAGATGAAGAGGAAATTCTGTATTTCCTCTTCAAGAATATTTCTGTTTCTTATTTAATCTTTGATTTGCTCATGTTTCTTTCCAGCTAATATTTAATGGACTCTTCTCTCTCTCTACCAAACCTTTGGATTTCCTGGGAAGGGAGAAAGGGAAGGGAGAAAAACTATTATCATATTAAAGCAGTCTAGCTCACTGAGGAAAGTTGGCCACTGAAACTCATTTTGGCTTTTTTGTTGGAATATTCTGAGAGTAGTATTATGGTTCCAACAGACAGAGATGAATAAACTCTACAAATTAGCATGGCTGCAGCAATTTTTTTCTTCTCATCCTAGGTTGCCAAGTAGTTCATACAATGGTTGCATACTTCATATGAATTGATTGCTTGTTAACTTTTGAAATATTTTAAATAGAAATCCACACTATACTCACTGGCATGACAGGGCAATTCTGTCATTTTAAAGGCTTGATTTATTCCATTCCAAATATATATTGACTATTCTACTAGACAAATTTGTAGAAGATAAATTGATCAGCAGAAGTTTGTCAATATTACAATAGTGTTTTAATTCTTTTTAGAACAATTCAGTAGCCAACTATCATATTGGTACACATTTTGCAAAATGAGGCAGTGCACAACTAGGTAATTTTAGGCATCCTAAATATCCTTATAGACAACCCATTCTAATCAGTCCTATTGCTGTAAAATGTTGTTTAAAAATGGAGGAAAGAAAAAAAATGCTGTGCCAAGCAACATCAGTCATGGTAAAAAAAATTGATACATTTTTGTGAATGTTGGCACCATCTTCTGCTGCATTCCTGATTATTTACCATTCTCTTAAAGGTCATTTGAGGCCCTTTTTAAATGCTGAAACTTGAAGTCTTCACTTTGCTTCACTACTGAAACTTACACAAAGTACATTTGGGACAAATTAGTAGCTTATGATGGAACACCATGGTTATTGTAAAAGTTGTCCCAGGTTGTTCAGTACATTTTAAGGGACATTGCTGAATATAATTCAGCATTCTATTTTAGAAAATATTATTCTAAAGACTCATTCCAGCATCAACCTGGACAGGCTGGAACTATAATCCTTTTGCAAACAGCAAACAAAGAATCTCAAATGTTTGACAACAGTTAAGATAACAAAGGACATGTGTGTGCATTGACATGGACAGGGGACAGTTGTTTCAGTACATTCATGCATTAACTACATGGCTGCACTTGGAAACAAAATGTGTGTAATTATTTGTAAGCTAAACCTGCAATCTCTGGCTGGATTCATACAAGAGACTGCAGATAGCACTGCTCGTTGGAGAGGAAAAAAATCCAAGTACTGAGGAAATATTAGCGACAGAGCCTGTCCTCTGCCCTCAGGCCACATCTGGTCTTCGTGATCAGCTCTGTAGGAAAGCAGGCTGTTTTGTTTTGCTCTGAGAAACAAGTCCAAGAAAGCCCAAGCCTGCAGAGAAGTAGAAAGGCCACTGCTGTGCTGTCTTACCCTTGTTTTCTTTCTTCTTTTTTAAAAGACGGTTTAATAAGAAGGGTGTTCCTTTCCTGAAAGTAAGAGAGAGAGGGAGAGGGAGAAAGACTGCAAAGTGTCCAAAAGGGCCGTGAGAAAACAGGAAGCTCCAAAAAGTACAAGAGAAAGCAAGATGAAATCTATTTGCAGGCCATTCCCTGGGGACATGCAAGCCATTGTTAAGCAAGCAGCTCATACAGCGATATCCTTCCTTCTGTTCAGGAGGAGCATGGTGCCAAAAAGCCGCTATCTGGTCACTGCCTGAACTTGCTGAAGGCCAGCCAAGCAGCCCCAATTCTCCAGGGCTTCTTGCAAGCAGGCCGACCCCCTTCTCCAAGTGGCCAGTTTCAGCTGCTGCCTGTTGAAACCCTTCAGGAACAAAACTGTCAGGGTTTAAAATCAGTCCATTGGATTTCCTTCCTTCTATTGACTATCTTAGTTTCTCTCCATCTGACCATTCAGTGCAACAAAGATCAGATGGCTGTTGGATTCATGCTGTTTTCCCTCCTGAAAAAAGATGAAAGTAAAGGTTTCCCCTGTCCAGTGGTGTCAGACTCTAAGGGGCAGCGCTCATCTCCATTTTTTAGCAGAGGGAGCAAAAAGATACGTCTATGGTCAGGTGGCCAGCACTGTTACCTTCTCACCGAAACAGTACCTATTTATCTACTTGTGTATTTATGCTTACAAACTGCTTGGTGGGCAGGAGCTGGTGCGAATAATGGGAGCTCATCCTGTCACACAACGTTTGGGTCTCAAACCTGGCTGTCAAATTTCCAGCCAACAAACCCAGTGTCTTAATCACTGAACCATCTTTATCCAGTGCATGATCTACAAGGATATAAACACCTTACCTAAGAAGTAATACAAAGACTATTGTTTTTAAAGCGATAAAATTATATTTTTAAAAGCATTAGTCCAAATCAGGGATTGGGGAAGTTCTAGATAAGAATTGATATTGATATAATAGGTATCTTGTCATACCAGTAGACCATGGTGAGTTTGCTAACAATGAATAACTTTGATGGCAGCAGTAATGTTGGCTATCTAGATCTCTCTCCAATTAAAAGTCCTTACAGTATTCCTGCCATCATATTGCTTTAAACTGCTATGGAATAGCTGCAGTTGTTAGGCCCAGCTGCCTGACATTGCTTGAAGTGCACAGTCAGGTAGATTCCAGGTAGGTATTATGAATGGACTGTGCAAGGTTTTTGGAGCCTCAGAAATTGCTACCAAATACTGGATGTCCGTTTCATCTCTGCTTAAGCCACAGTGGTGAGATTCAAATATGTGAACAACCGGTTCTCTGTGTGGATGCTGCTTCCAGAAGTCCATTCTGGGCCTGGGCAACAAAAATTAACTACCAGTTCTGCTGAAGTGGTGCGAACTGGCTAAATCCCACCATTGATAAGCCATCATCGTTCTTAATTATTTGACAAACTTACTTGGTGTAATATAGAGATATTGAAAAGGCTCATTGTTTCCTGGTTTTCCTATAGTTAAGACATTACCTGTGGCTTCATGGGTATTAGAGAACAGAAATGTCCTCAAAAAAAGTAGGTAACAAAACATGAAGGAAAACAAAAAAGTGCAAGAAAGAAACTCATGAGTGTAGTGTAAGAAGGAAGGATAAATGCTATCAGGCTTTGAAAATTCTGTTAGTATAGCTTCTATCAATACAGTAAACTACAGTTGCAGTATATCTTGTGCTTTCTGTTTCCTGACTGTCTACCTCAAAGGCAAACATCAGAGCTTCATGTGGTTTACTAAAATTCCTCCAAGGTGTGAGTGATTATCATAGAATAAAAGCCTTGGAAAAGGGCATTTAGGACTTTGGATACGACTTTAGTTCTCATTTTAATACAAGAATCTGGTTTAATCTGGTTATTGGATGATGATAACAAACACGCCATGGACTACTTCTGACACCATATGGTGTTTGAAAAAAATGCTGTCTTATTATCCTATCTCAGTTGCTCCCTGCATAATTTTGCTTCCTTTTGCTTAACCATCTTCATGGCCTTTCTTTGCACCTCCTCCAATGTGCCTGAATGTTTTTTACCTTTGATGCACAGCATTGGATATAATACTCAAGGAACCTGATCACTGCAGACTACAGTAGGACTATTATTTTCCCAATTTATGGTACAAATTTTAATATCCTAGAAGGTGGAATTGATTAGGTACAAGATCAATCCTGTATATGTAATTAATTTAATTTACACATAAACTATAGGTTTTGCCTTGGTCCTGCCTATTTTTTGAGGTGGGCAAGCAAGGTTTACTCCTCCTCACCTTATTGCCATTCTCTTATGCAGATGGTAACATATAATAAGAGTAGTTCATTTTGCTGCCTGATTCCCTATGTAAAACCTAAAATAATGATTTGTTTTGACAGGACTACAAGCAATGGGTATCTTTAGAGCACTAGTAAGGATGAGGGGCAAATGATGCAAGTGAATCATATCAATGACACAAATATGCATAATCTGCATAATGAAATCATCACATATCTTTCATCATTTTTGTGTCAGCCCACTTTGCTACACAAAACACCCGACTGTTTTGAATTAAATATACCAGTCATAGCTCCCTTGCTAGAAAACTGCACTTAAGTTTGCTTTGTTCTTCTTTGCTCTTCACTTCACTTCTGGGGCCTCCCAAGGCAAGTCCAGTTTACAAAGGCTCATCCAGAAAGCATTTCCAGGACCTCCAGGAGCAGGCCAGAGGCCTCCCGTCAACAGATGAGACTGAGGAGAAGCCAGAAATGAAGCAACAAGATGAACTGTGTGATTGTGGCACCTCAAGACGGCATTGAAATAGCATTGTTTCTGGAGCCAAAGGAGGCTTCATGGGACAAAGTCTGGCCTGCTCTCACAAGCCTAATGAGAATTCCATTCTTACAATGTATTTCCCTCTTTCCTGAGGGAGAGAAATGATGAAAGTGAGTCACCAATGCCCTAGTTCATATTTACTTCCTCTTGCAGCCACGTGCTGATCCTGTGCCCTCCCGAGGGCAAAAAAAGGTAAAGCAATCCTAACCTGAGCTCACAGTTGAGTTAAAAGGGATTTTTGCCTCATTCAGTAAATAGGGGGTTGGGGACCCACTGGAGGTCTTTAGAAACAGCTGCCATCCGAGAGGGTGCTGTCAATGAAAGATGAAGGCAGGGGTAGCATGGACTGACTGTATTCTTCTGCAGCTTGCCAGAAGGTGCAGCTATTTGCATGAAAAAGTTAACAGCATTTTCAATAGTCTCATTTTGACACGGTTGTACGAGTTATGCTGGAATTCAATTAATATTATCCCATTTAAAATATGGCATTGTCTCCTCTAGTATTGCTAATATATTTTCTGTCTTTAGGTATAGACATAATTGATAATTTGTATTGATAAAAAAAGGCAACATGCACAGACTAATTCACTTGTTTAGCCAGTATATCAAATTGTTAAATATCCTTGACCTCCCTTTGGAATGAAATGTGCAATACAAATGTCAGATATATTTATCATCAGCAGACTAGCAATCACACTAAGTGCTATGAAATGCAATCTCAAGATGAAGAATAAACTCAAAAGGAAATTTGAAGACAAAGTCTGCATTCTAGTTTTAATGCGTCCTCATTTCAGTCCCTCTTCTCCTATTTGATAGTTGATAAATATATTGTAACTGCAGCTCCCAGAATACCTAGCCATCATGGCCTTAATGCTTAGAATTCTGGGAACTGCAAACCCAACAAGAGTGTGGAAGGCTGATTTAGTGCAGCAACTGAAGAGTCAAAGAATGATACAATGAAACTATGGCACTATTTCGTCAGTCCAAGTACTCCATCTCCAGAAAAGGAGAAAAAGTCGAACAATTATCACCTACATAACAGATTAACATTATCTATTAATCATGCTAAGTAGTATATCATCCTACTCCTTGGTAAGCTAGAAAAAGGTGGAATAGACAACATCATCACCAGATGGATCTGTAGCTGGCTGGCAAACCATACTCATCGAGTAGTTCTCAATGGCACTACATCCACATGGAGAGAAGTAAGCAGTGGGGTACCATAAGGTTCCGTCCTAGGCCCGGTACTCTTCAATATCTTCATCAATGACTTAGATAAGGGAATTGAAGGAGAACTCATCAAATTTGCAGATGACACCAAACTGGCAGGAGTAGCCAACACTTCAGAAGACAAACTCAGGATCCAAAAAGATCTTGACAAACTTGAACAATGGGCCCTATCCAACAAAATGAGTTTCAATGTGGAGAAAAGCAAACTTTTACATTTAGGTGGGAAAAATCAAAGGTACAAGGACAGATTGGGCAAGACCTAGCTTAAAAATAGTAACTGTGAGAGGGACCTTGGAGTCCTAGTGGACAATCACTTAACCATGAACCAGCAGTGTGCAACAGCAGCCAAAAAAACTAAATACAATCCTGGGTTGTATAAACAGAGGCATAGAATCAAGATCACGTGAGGTATTAGTACCGCTTTATAAAACCCTGATAAAACCACATCTGGAATACTACAGCCAATTTTGGTCACCATATCACAAAAAAGATGTTGAGAGTTTGAAAAAAAATCAGACAAGAGCAACTAAGATGATCAAAGGTCTGGAGATAAAACATACAAAAAACGGCTGCAGGGCTTGGGTTTGGCTAGTCTAAAGAAAAGAAGAAATAGGGGAGACATGATAGCAATATTCCAGTATTTGAGGGGCTGCCACAAAGAAGAGGGGGTCACATTATTCACCAAAGCACCATAGGGCAGGACAAGAAACAATGGTTGGAAACTGATCAAAGAGAGAAGCAACCTGGAATTGAGCAGAAACTTCCTGACAGTGAAGACAATTAACCAGTGGAATAGCTTGTCCCCAGAAATCATGGGCTAGACAGTCATTTGTCTGAGATGGTATAGGTTCTCCTGCTTGAGCAGAGTCTGGACTAGAAGACCTCCAAGGTCCCTTGCTATTCTATTCTATTCTGTTCTGTTCTGTTCTATTTCGCCTATGTATTCCAGAAATGAGTATCTTTTGGAAATCCTAATATTATAACCATGTATAGGCACAAGTCTATGTAGGTTTCATTTCTTGTATTGTAGATTTGAATGTCAGGCCACAGTCCAGAATAGGAGTGGGGTTTTACTTAGCAAATTACATAAGGCAGATGTTTGCAACTTCATCAAATGCCCCAAAGAACCCACTGCTTGTTATATTGACCCTTAGCTGTAAATTGGGACTGAATGACAATAACCATAACAATAAGTGGATTGTCCTGATCTGGTATAAATATTTTTGTTATTAGCAGAATAGTAGTTCTGCTTCTGCTCCCAATCTCTTGATATGAGAAAGTGCTCAGATTTGTTTCTTTTAAATACTACCTTAAAGATCACTCATACCAGGCAATATGGAAGAAAGTTCATAAATATGTTAGCTTAAGATTCATTGACATTTCTTTTCTAATAATGAAGAATGAAGAATGAACTTCAGTGTTGGCCAAGGAATTCTGGAAGTTGAAATCTTAAAGTTGCTAAGGTTGAGAAGCACTGCACTGACTTTATTCTGCTTTCCAGCAGATCTGCTGCAATTTTCTAGTTCTATTTCCATAGTGCTGTGGGGAGGGAGGCTTTATTATGTCATCTACAGGTGAATCTTGTTCTGTTTTAGTAAATCCATTTTGGGAAATGTTTTCAAATGAAACTTTGCTGACTTGATCCATAATCAGGATTTTCTTGGACAAGGCATTTTTCAGGGCTTGCTAGGATAATAGCACGATAATATACCAAACACATATTTGTTTTCATTTTTGTGAAAAAGAAGGAGGGGCTGTTTGTTGATTATTGGAGTGCTGGAAGTGGTTAAGAAGGGAGGATGCTCAGGCATGGACAAAAAGTGAACAATGACAGGCTAGCCTTTTTAATGTTCTGGTATTGGCTAGCTTTCTCTGAACAATGGTTTGTTGAAAGTACAGTAGTTCCTGTACACTCCAAATTCACACCAAAGTGGAGGATTTATTGGTTAGATTTAAAGCATGTTGGGAGTTACTGGAAACAAAAGCTCTTGTGGTATGGTTCAGCAATGTGGTATGTTTTCATTCTAATTTTCTTAAACACGAATTTATCTCCTTCCTTTTAAAAGTAAAGAAGGGTCAAACTTACTACCAGCAAGCGTAGGAAAGCAGATATGGGACATCATGAAAGTGAATCATACTGGTTTGTACGATGATGTATGAAAAAAGCTATTTTGAGATCTTATTAAATCATCCATGTGCTCTGAATTCAATAATATTGATATTTACATATCTCTACTAATGCAACTGTCAGCTAGCCATAGACATAATAATATTTATGACAAGTTGCCTTTGTTGTTTATTGTGCAACCTATAATGAATTTATCAGCTCCTTCTCCACCAGTGACTTAAGAAAATATTTTGATAACTTTTAGTTCATTTGACTTAGGGTAAGAAATACTCACCTTACATTTGAAAGGTTTGACATCTGAATGGACAATCATATGGGCTTTGAGAGTTTGTTTTTGCACAAAGCTTTTAAAGCAGAGGTGGCATTGGTAAGCTCTGATATTGGTGTGAATTAAGACATGTCTCTTCATATTGGCAAGTAGTGTAAACTCCCGGCCACAGATTCCACACTTGTGCTCTTTCACACCCTTGAAAAACATAAGAAATGGTATAAATATTTATACCAGATCAGTAAATGTTGGTTCCTAATCCTAACCCCCCTTTTTCTTTTTTCTACTTTAAATTTGATCTTGGTTTTGGCTGGGGTAGCTGAGACTATTCACTTTGGCTCAATCACAGTGGAAAAGGAATCTAGCTTTGCAAACTTTTGAGTTTTGGGTCACATATCTTCCTTTAAGGGAACTTTTATTTTATCTACCTCTGAACTCCTTCTCTCTCTTCCTTCTCCACAGCATGTTGCTGTGATGCTGTGGTGGTTTTTTTAAAAATTGAGTTTAGGTGGCCTCTCTTTCATGAAACAGTTAAAAGCACAGTCAGGTGCTTTATATGCTAGTCCACTTATTTGGCTTTTTTTTTGAACAGGTGTTCAAAAAAAAAGCCAAATAAGTGGACTAGCATATAAAGACAGAGAATGATACTGGCCAAATGTCAATTTGCGAACACCTATTGGACAGCTGCAGCAAGTATGGTGTTCTTGAAATTTCAAGATTGGCTGCAGTAAGGGTCATTGCTACTGAGACTGAAAGTGTTTCTGAGGTTAGGGAGAAGTAAAGATGGTAGTAATCTGGAAGTGACTTCTCTGTTACTTTCAGTTTAGAAGTACTTAAAAATATTTGCATTTTAGCAGGGTTTTTTCCCCCCAGTACAACTATTGGATAATCCCTGGCATTAGCTTACCTTATGAGTCAAGGAGTGCTGCTTCAGGTGATGAGGCTGCACAAATTCCATACCACATTCAGTGCAAATATACGGACGAATATCCTTGTGCTTCATCATGTGATTCTGCAACTGGCTTGGGTACTGGAATATCTTGTCACACTCAGTGCAAGTGTATTGAATAGGACCTCGGTGGGTGGTTAAGTGCCTCTTCAGCTGAGACAAAGTTGGGAAGTCAAGACCACACTCAATGCAAATATTTTCTCTACCACTCTCATGCTTGGATTCATGAGCTTTCAACTCACTGGGATAAGCAAAACCCCTTCCACAAATCCTGCAGCTGTAAGGTTTAATGTCACTGTGCTGCATCATGTGTCTCTTCAGGTGACTTGTTTGGGTAAAGGCCTTGTGACACACTTGGCACTTATGAGGTCGAGTGCCTTGATGAGTCAGCATATGAGTATGGAGATGGCTTAGCTGCTTGAAAAGTTTGCCACACCGGGAGCAAGCGTGGGGTTTGATGCCACTGTGTCCCAAAATGTGAGTGACCAAGTTGTATTTGGATGTGTAAGACTTGTCACACATAGGGCACTGCCAACGTTTCTGCTCCCCTCCTACATCAATGTAATAGCTGTCATCGATCTGAATATTAACATCTACTCTTTCCACCTTTTGCTTCTTTTCAGCTTGCTCACTTAACTCAACCCTTTTGAAGGGTGGCTCCAGGGATCTTTTTAATGGGAAAGGATTTCTAAAATGCAAATCTGGGGGCATCATAAAAGGAAACATTAGAGTAGGATGAATTTTGGGATAGTATGAATAGGGAGCCTGCAGAAAAGTGGTAGGGCCAGGCCATAGAACTTTGGGCTTTATTGGTTCTTCTTTGATATGCTGTGTCCCAAAGTGTTCCAGAGTCCTGTAAAAGTGATAACCAAGGTTGCAGAGGTCAATCATGTGAGCATTGTACTTTGGCTGTGTGGATTCATGCTGAAATATTGAAGGGAGGCTGGGAGAACCTCCATCAACATTTTCTTCAGCTTTGTCCAATGGAGATGTGGGATCTCCTGGAGGGAGAGTGGAAAGCATTTTCATTGGCATGCTTTTACGTTTACGAGATCCCCCTTCCAAAGAGCTTTTGAAGTTTTCTAAGTCTGTGGGAGGGCTGTATCCAAATTGGGCAAGCTGTGTCCTGAATTCCTCACTGAGGGGTGGAGCTACATTGGTATTTACAATAGGATCCAAGCAATGAGCAAAGGAAAAGGCTTGTATATTGTCCATCTTGCAATGTGTGTCCTCTTTCTTCATTGCACTGAAGTTCTCCTGGATGATCTAGCTTCCTTCAAATAATAAATAACATTTTTTAAAACCAATCTTATTCCTGCTTGCTGTTATTTGATATGAAGTGAAATTGGGTGGAAATCCTTAAATGACAGTTTAACACAAAAGATGGTGGTCTATCCTGTTTTGTCTGCCTTCTCTTTTTAGCCTCAAGTTTACTTTTCTAGGCCAGAAATCTGGGTTCTGGCATTTGTCAGTCTTTGTGGCTTTTAACAAAAATATCTGGTCAACTTCATGCAGTTGTTTAATATGCCATGTAGCTCCACTTGAAAGGACTCAGTCTAATTCTTCCATGCATTAAAAAATGAGTACAAGCTATGGTTGATAAGGGCTACTTCTGCTGCTCCACTATGGCTGCATTTAGACGTGCCTTTCAATATCAAAAGGTTCATACATACATACATATATGAATTCATACATACTTAATGAACATTAAGTATGAACATTCCTGTTCATTAAGATCATGGAACTGGAAATAATTGTTTAGGCCATCATTCTACTCCTAAATTCATGCTGTACAGTATATTCCTTTGGGGTCAAGAACTACACTTAGACTCTGACTAATATCCTAGGGACACAGTGGAAAAGGTGTGGCAATTCCCCCAAAAATGCCCAAATGTCAATTGATTGAATAAAATGACAATTGCAATTAAATTAATTAAATATAATTCATATGGCTATTAGCAAGCACTTAATAGCTTGCCTTACCCCATCAGTTAAAACTAGTATTGAATAGCAAAATGTGACACAGTTCTGGGGAAGGGGTCACACTCAAAATAGTGTGGCCAGTTGCAACTTGCCTTAATTACTAAGCTGTTTAACTAGTTTGCCAGCTGGTGGATTAGTTGGTAATGCTTTCAGAGAAAGTAAGGCATGTCTTAGAATCCGTTAAGTTTCATGCATAGCCAGTTGCTTGTTTTGAATGCAGAACATGTCAAGATCTACAATTTCCAGATAAGACTTGGGAAAACTTCTCTTTGAACCCCCTTAATACTTGCCATCACATTATATGGGTCGGTTTTGGCCTTTGAGTGGTAGAAGAGTAGAAGGCCGCACTCCCGAAAAATAGGCATGACCAAAATAAAAAATTGAACTGAGTTGGGCAGAAACAATACCATCAAACCTCTATCACTGTAACATTTACAGTTTAGTGATTTTGGGAGGGACTATATGTACCAAAAGCTTGATTCAGTGAAAGGCAATATCCTACATGATTAAGTATTGATTTTGCAGGCTGTTACGAGCTGCAGAAACTAGTAAGCAGACAATGAAAGATTGGTACTGTGTGCTTCTACTGGTAAATTTAGGACCTTTGGATAGGCCTTTCAATGCTGTACTCTGCCCAACAAATTAATTCAAGCCTTTATATCCATTAGTTATTTAGTCTGTTTTATAATGTTTGTTGAATAAATGTGCAACAAATAAATATCCCTTAAGTTTAAGTATCAATAGCACAGCATCTGTACTCACGTTAAATCATCACCTTTGGGACAAATGGTCTTTAAATGTATCTGCATGAGCTCCAGACATCTGTGTCTAAGAGACAGAGAAAACAATGATCATTCTTTAAATATGTGATGGTTGAGATAGAAATGTATAAATTCAAGGTTCCATATTGTTTTCTAGTAAATGATTGGAGGAAAAATATTTGAGGACACTGTTGTTTAGAGATGACAGAAAGATGAGGTGCATAGCTACCTAACTAGCCAGTGAGAGAGAGAGAGAGAGAGAGAGAGAGAGAGAGAGAGAGAGAGAGAGAGAGAGAGAGAGAGAGAGAGAGAGGTCTTAAAACGTTAAACAACTTTACAAAGGTAGTGTACCATATGTATGCCCTTTGTTGAATTGGAAGTTACAATATGTAAACTTGCTCTTCTATGTATATAACTTCCTATGGCTAGGAACAAACCTGATGTGACTCTGGTAACCAAAGATTGTCACCATTGTACTATAATTCTGAAATAGTTACTGCATTTGCTTCTACTTCATGCTAAATTGGAGCTTTTATAGAATTCAAGAGAGAATATTATTTTTCTTACCCTTTATTATGTCTTCTTTGCATATCATTCCTTTGAATAATCTTCCTCTGTATGGGATCCTTTAATTGCTGAATGGGAGCTATACCCCCAATAGAAGGCTGAGGGATGAAGTTTGAGAATTGTTATGGGCTCTCTGCATGCTTGTCATTAATTCTAATCTTTCCACAGTATTAGGAAATAGAGGGAAAGAAACAGTTTGGTGCAGTGGTTAAGGCATCAGGATAGATATCAGGAGACTGTGAATTTTAGCCCTGTCTTAGGCACAAAGCCAGCCAGATGACTTTGGCAACCCCAGGAAAAAGGCAATGGCAAAACATTCAAAAATCTTGACAAAAAAATGACAGGACTTGTGCAGGCAGTCACTAGGATTTGGTGAGTTTGATATGTATTTATATTAGCATACTTTCTGTGCTATGTTAGCTTTGGGGCAAACCCTTAATTTTTGTCCTTTGGGCTGATAGCCCATCCTAATCAATGATTTTTACAGTTGCTTTCTGAGATGGAAAGAGGTGGGGATGTCCACTCAAAGTGAAGTCCCTAATACTATATACAGTTTAGCCTTCAAGGCTGCAGATTAGTGTGTTTATCCATGCATATTGCACATTGCTAGAGAGGAGTGCAAAATGAGAATGGCTTTTTTGAATTTTGAATTGCTTTTAACTATGTGTGGTTTGTCATCCTTTAAAAGGAACAATAGCACCATCCAAATTAAATTTTAATTTATTTTAAACTGTGAGTAATGCAACAGAAGTGGGAATAGCAGTTGACTTCAGCATGAATCACATTTGCCTCGAATGACAAGAAGAAAATGTTGGTACATCTACATTGATTCCCAGTGATCCTAACTGCTGCCAGTTTAATGTTTTATTATGCTTTTTCAAAAGAAAAGGTAATTATTTATCATCTTTAGAGGACTGGAACTCCATTCTCTCCTTTTGTACACAACGTTCTTATTTCTAAGTGTAGGAAGTAAGCGTTAAATACTAAATATGCTGCCAAGTGCAACAGCAAGAGAAGACCAGCTTCCTGTACCTTGAATAGTGAGCAGTGCTGTACAACAGTTTTTCTAACCCTCCAAAATCTTTATCTGCACCAGAACTATTTAAAGTACAAGCACCCATGCTGTGATCTTTTGTTTCAAATTTTCTGAAGTATACAGAACAGGAATCTCTCTTCTATACTGTTTAGTATTATGAGAAATCAAATGTTATGTGACATAGCAATCCTGTTGTCCGTTTTACATGAAATTCACAGTCATTTAATTCTAAAGCCATCACTCAGTGCACTTTAGCCTAAACCAAGCATAAAGAAGTTATCAATGATAGTAAATTATTTCCATGAAGGCAAAGTCAATACTGAATCACTGTGACTTTGATGAATGAAAACAAGTATACGTGTCTCATGATAATGTTGCAGGATCCAATCTGGATCGGTCACCGGGACCAGAGGTTTAGTTTTCTGAGCTTTCGGACTCGTACCAGAGCCCATCCTGAGGAAGCTTCTCTCTACCAGAATGTGCCCTGAGCATGGGCTCCAGCATAAGTCTGAAAGCAAAACCTCTGGTTCTGGTGACAGATCCAGATTGGGTCTTGCAACCGTGACTTGGAGCCAGACATTTTTTGAGGCTGTCTTAAGGGTCTTGAGCAGACTCCTCTTTTTGCTGCCTTGAGCTTCCAGACAAACAGCAGAACACAAATGCATTACACAAATACCATTATAACTCTACATCTGTGTAGTGTGCTAAGACTAAGACAAATAAAAAAGAGCCAGTTTGATTAGTGCACCAGTCTAGAAACCAGGAGACCATGAGTTCTAGTTGTGACTTAAGCACAAAGCCAGCTGAGTGATCTTGGGCCATTCATATACTATTAGCACTAGAAAGCAGGCAATAGCAAACTGTTTCTGAAAATCTTGCCAAGAAAACAACAGGCAGTTGCTAGGAGTCACGACTGATTTATCCTCAAATAAATGAACTGCATTATGGTTTAATAGGAGATGAAACAGATCCAAATGTGGATATTCATGTTGTCTGTTGCTGAATATTAATATTCTTTATTCATTTGTATTTGACATTGCATAAAATAATACACATCTTCTATCTTTTTTTCTGGGGCTATTGTTTTGAAACGGATTAAATCATGCACTAAATATATATTTCAAAATAAATAGCTGCTGGACAGGGAATGGAGCCTTTCTGTATCTCCCTCAAATTTCAGGAAATAAGAAAATTTTCCAACTTCCCATTGTAGCCTACAGTGCTAGAATTCCTGATATCTTCCCATTCAAATATTAATCAAATCTGAAGCTGCTTAGCTTCACAATACAGGCCAGTTTAGCTAGATGCTGTCCTGAGTTTTTAAAAATATTGGAAAACCCATTAAAAAGTATTCCAGCAGGGGCTAGGTGGTAAAGATGACAGCAAAGATACTACTTTCCCTAAAAAAATAGGAATAATTGCAGATATGCACATTCATTAGGTATGTATTACCATACTGAAATGTGTTCTGCATTAGCAACCATAAAAATATTGGCACCAGTCACTAGGTGCTCCCAAAGTTCAAGGCTTAACTTATTGCTGTAGGATAAGAAATATCACTAGAAGACAATTTTTCCTATAAAGTAATTCTAAATGTGATTTGATCAGAAACTTATTTTTTTTAGCCATTTAGCTGTTGTAAGGGCTGAAAAAGTCAGAAGGAGGGGGATATACAGGTAGTCCTTGTTTAGTGACCCTAACTGGGACCAGCAACTCAGTCATTAAATGGGGTGATATCTAAGGAAAACCATGACTGTGCTTACAATTTTATTTCAGCTTGCCTTTGCTTTATACTTACGAAGATTGTAAAAGCAAAGCCTCATCATAAAATTACGTTTTCATCAGCATCATACCTGTGAACAGTCAGTAAACAAGGCAGTTGCTAAATGAGGCACACCTGTAATCCTAATGGCTTTGTAAGTAGGTCAGCTGACCAAGCATCCTTTATTATGAGAAACCTGATTACATTGGGGTTCCTGATTATGGCAAAGTCTCAGGTGAATTTGCATTCAATGTATGAGCATCTGTGGAGAACATGGGCCTTACCATTGGCTTTCACTTTGTACTTTATACTTTAATACTTTTTATAGCAAGACAGGAAAAATGGACAAAGTAATAACTCAACAATGTATCTAAATCTCTGAAAAGTATTTACATAAATAGTTATAAGCAAATTTGAGCCCCCAATTTGATTGTTAAGCAAAACAGTTGCTAAGTGAATCAGCTGATATGCTTATGATCTCACTTTGACTTTCCTTTGCTTTAAAAGCTGGTAGATTGTTGCCAACCATCATTATCCATGTCTTAGATGAGCACATAGGAAGGCTAACATCTCAGTTCTCTATGGGAAATTACCTTCAGGTATTGATTCAGGCTATAGCATAAAGTGTTTTCCCAGCATAAATCACTTCCTTTCTTCTTTTACTTCATATATACATTAAACTGGAAGTGAAGATCTGTCAAACCTCTTAAAGTTTGACATAGAACACAGTCAAATTTATATGAGATTTATAACTACTTTGGCAATTCAATAATCACATGAATTTGGGCTCTGCAGAGCTTCAAATTTAGAGGGGAAAAGGTGTTTTAGAACATATTGAGTATATTAGTGCTCCCGGACCATCTGCCTGCAACTTTTTAAATTACTTGCATCTTTTCCTAGAATTGCCTGGGGGCCTTCAACAAATAGACTGTTTCCTTTTTCATAGGAAAATGTGAGCTTGGTTCGAAGAGTTGTAGAAGCTTTTTGTCTTCAAATCTGACATTGTGCACAGTCCTGATATTCATGGTTGAGTGAGTCTATATGCAGAGGAGCAAAACTATCACCCATAGAGTTCAAGATATACAACCCTGTCTTTTATTGCTTCTAGAAAGGACAGCTACCAACACAAAGTGAATATATCAGCCACAATCTATAATGTTTCAGACATCTCTGGGCCAGGCTGAGGTAGGATGAGCTGTGGCTTTTTTCAACATTTTTTCACAACTCACAAAACAGTGTATTTTGGTCATCTACGGAGAATGAATTATAGGCAGATACAGAAATGCTTCATCTCTAACAACAATTCAAAATAAAAGAATGTTTCTACCATTCCCTTGAAGTAGAATTTGTTTTTTGTGATGATTCCATGTAGCCAAGTTCAAGAGATGGAAAATTACTGCCCTCACTTTCAACCATTTTCATCCAATCCTAATACAGCTATTGTCACGAAGACAATTCAGAGCAAAGACAATAGATATTGTCCTCATTTGACACTGCAACATCATATATTAAGGACATTATCCCAGCATACGTTCCATTTCTATAAGGAGCTCATGTATTATGTGACTTAATCTCCAGATTTATGTAGCTACTTCGGAGACTCTGAAGAAAACTAAAGCCACATCCATAGAACCTTTCTGTTGTGGCATAAGGACAGCTCATTTAGCATTCTTGGAAAGCATGACTGTACTTCACACTGCAGCAGCCATGTTGTACCAGCTAGGCACTCAGGGTGTGCCAAAGTCCAGCTGAGGCACTCCAATATGAAAACAGTATTTTCCCACTTGCTGTGGCATAGTCCCAGCTATGTCAACACTGAGATGCAAATGGGTGAAAGGGTTAGCCCTGTGACTATGGCACTCCATACACCAGGTCTGTTGTAAGACTACTCCCTTGTATGTAGACAATATATATCACTTCTGTCCATCATTCATTGATTATAGTTGTGACTTGATTGCTCAGTCTCCATAGACAATGGGGTTCCTGATCTCCAGGTATCATCATTGCCAATGTTTAAGAAAGCTCCTCCTCTTAAATATTATTCACAGTCAGGATTTGTCTGAACTTTTGCTGTCCAGATTTGGTAACCCTAAAGAAGATTCCAATGACATAATGACACAGTCTCTTCATACTCTGATGAAGATTTATCGCTCACCAACATGACTAATTCAGGGGAAGTGAAACCTACAGAAGGTAATTTTTTACATGGATCTTCTGAGTGTTTCCTAAAACATGTATCAATTTAATTCCAAATGTGGTTCAGTATTCTCACTTTTATGAAAACTCATCTAGTTCTTGGTTTATCTTCCTCTTCCTTTAAGCACTATCTTCTTTCTGTTTAATGGATTCATTTCAGTGTTGACTCAAGGCCAAATTATTTAAAACAGACTCTCTACTACAGTTCTGCATAGGTTCAGTATAACACTAGCTGATCATGATTTTAAATAGGTGGGTTATTATTGGTTTTATCATCAACAATGTGAGTTTTCAGAGGACTGTCACCATCAACTTCTTGTAATCATTTTTTAAAAAGCTTTATCATATTATTTTTCAAACTATTTATTACTTTATGACTCGTTAACAAGGAATATGTGGGCTAGAAATTTTGTTGATAGATAAGCATAATCAAGAACACTAGGAATTTACACTGCTCTGGCTTATACCTTGTACTAAACTGTGTTTAGCCTGAATAAGTTTTAATCAGCTGGGTTCATCCAATGATGAACTGAATCGTTTTAATCAGCTGAGTTCATCCAATGTGCAAAGACCAAACTATCCAAGCAGCATTAACTACAATGTGCCAATCCAAGCACGTTTGAAAATTATTATGGATTAACTGAAAGACAACATTGTTTCCAAAAGCCATTCCAATTCATTGAATGATTAATTATTGCATATAGTACTGCACATTATCTCTCTCTCTCTGCTATTTGACATGTGTTGGTATTTTGGACTTTATTTTAATTAATATTTATATACTCATTTAATAGTTTCCAATGTTTGCTCATTATTTAATTTCTAATTTTATATTTTTGAGCTCTTAAAGGTACAAAGGCATGATAGTAAATCTTTAAGCAAGGAAGCATACCAAACTGTCTGCCTGAAAAAGTTAATTTTTCCTTATAACATAATAATTGAATGTTTTATTTTATTTCTATTCTGATTGCCCTTAAATTGTCAATTCTCACTTAAAACAACCATCAGAATGAATCTCTAGCTACAAGAATATGTTTTATTGTATATTTAAATATGACAAATATAAAATATTATCTAAAAGTTAACATTACTGTAGGTTAAGCACTGTATACTTAACTGACCCATATATGAGCTTTTCCAAAGATTACTGATATTTTAAATTATGCCTCAGATCATAACACTTCTGAGAATGTTAACTTCTCCTGTATCGCTTACCTCAACCAGAGAAAATTTCATTAAAAAGACAGCCAATAAATCTACCAATTAGATTGGCATGCATACCTTTAAGAATTTCCAACAAATCTGGTAAAGTATTGTAAATAATAGGAAATTGCATATGATGTCATATGTGAGAAAAAACCCTCCCACTTTGCCATGAACTTGATTTTAATCCCAAACTTTGGGGGGATTTATTTATTTATTTAAAAATATTTTTATATTTGCCGATGGAAGAACAAAATTCTTCCATAGTATATGAAATAAAAGAAACAAAGAATTAATAAAACTAACATTAAAAGAAACATCCAGCAAAGCACTTTTTAAAAATGCACAGAAGCCACAGTTCAGATAAAATCTCAATCAGAATAAGCAGAACAAAATATTTTCTAAAGTTTTCTTGAAAATTGGCAGTTATGGATGCTTGACAAACTTCAGGCAACAAAATATGAAACAATCTGTAAGCTACTAAAAAAGGACTCTTTTTAGTAGTTCAGTTTGTCAAGACTGCTTCTTTTCGGAACCATGACACAGTTTAGTTAAGACCAGAAAGTCTGGGCTGCAAAAATCTAGACAATCACTAAATAATAGAGTTAAAATTCTTTTGTATTGCTTAGCGGCAATTCAGATTTTTGCAGCCCAATTCTGATATCCCCAAATATCATAATACATAGTGCATAGTACAATTCTATACATGTTTCTTCAGAATTGTTGCAATCTGTTCAACGCTGCTTAACCTGTATAGGATTGGAGCTTGAGGAAGAGGGCTCTTCATTTCAAATATTGAGGCTAGTAACAACATGGCTTTATTGAGAAATAACCCCAGTTTTGTACAATGGAACTCATTTCTAAAATTTCTAAATATAATTCCCAGATAGCTTAGATGTGATAAAACTGGGTCTTCAGTATGCTATGAATACTTCACATTTAAACTTAAGTACCAGCATTGTTCTGCTTCCAGAATGAAGGAAAGGAAAGGAAAGGAAAGGAAAGGAAAGGAAAGGAAAGGAAAGGAAAGGAAAGGAAAGGAAAGGAAAGAAGGAAAGGAAATTAATTTACCCTATAGTGAAAGTAAGGCTTACTCCTAGATGTCTTGGCGTATAATTAAAACTTAAAATACAGCTAAAATCGCAGTGAACAAGATACTGGGAGAGTACAATTCATGCCTGAGCAGAATAAACCTTGTAACTGGAATTTACTTAAGAGAAATGTTGCCTAGATTTTGGTGTGTTTGTTTATAAGGCAGTTTTCAGAATCTTTTACTGCTTATGATGCAGAGTGGTTGGTTCATTGGTATTGTACACTTTCAGGAAAGAGAGCACTTGAGATATTAACACTTTATACACAAGGTGCTGTTCATATAATTATAGCCTCCACCTTCTGCTTAAAACTAGAAAATTTTAAGAGATCATTCAGGCCCCCGTGCAGCCCAGACTAAATCAATTAGCTACTAAGGGCCACAAGCAAGTGCATTTCTCAGATGAACTATTTTGAGATTTCACAAGGATCTGAAGCATGTCTTTCACATCGGGAAATGCACTAAAACAAAAAGGATTGCGGCTTTCAGAAAGCACGAAAAATGTTTACTGTATTGTAAAAATTACCACCACTTTTTAAATTTCGGATTGTTTGATCAGGTATCTAGAAAACTGGAGTACTGTATAGTTAATTGTAGAATGCACACAAGTATACATAAACACACCTACTAAGCTCCTGCCAAACTGAATTGCTTGGGATCCACAAAGAAGCATGTATTTGATCTTTCAACTTTCATTTATTATTAGTTTACAGGCTGCCTTAAGAAATTTTGGAAGGTTAACTTACCAGGTGCTGACCCGACAGTGGTAGTAACCCAATGCTTGTAATTGCTCCCTAATTGGCAAAGTTGTCACTTCTCGTGTGGCAGCTGCAGTGCATTTAGAAAACGTGGAGGGACAGCGTTCCAAATGACTTAAGAAAGAGAACAGGAACAATCACTTCATTTTGTTTTTTTTTTCTTCTTTTCTCAGATGAGTTCTGTACCTTCAGAAAGAAGGAAGGAAGGGAGGGGAGAGGAAGTCAACAACCCTTAGCTTTCCTGCAAAAAAATAAGGAAACGGCAGATAGCCATCTCATTTTCTCAAAATGTTTGGAAAAATAAACCAAAGGAAAAGAAATTCCTCAAGTATTATATCTTTATGATGGATTTCATAGGGTGAAATTTCTAATTCAATGGGTGGAATGTCCTCAAAACAAACACAATGTTCCAAATACAGAGTCTTGTTTTGGAAGTCAGATGCCTGTATCCGCAAATTGCTGCTTGCTTAAGAATATAAACAATGAGAAAGAGAGAGATGGTCAGCCCCTCCACCTTTACTACACACAGTTGAAATACCATTCTCAGTATCCATTAAAGTGTACATAAATGTATATAAGGAGGTAAATTTATGTATAGAAAGAAAGAGGGGTTTTGTGAGTAGAGTAAGTCATAATTATAAGCTAGAGTTACATAAGTTATCATTCAATAGTTTCCTATTAGGTTTTCTGGTCTGGACCTCCCAGAAGTGCCAATTAGATTGAAAAACTGAAATGCAATTCAGACAACACTGAAAAGTATCTATTGGCGAGAAAACCTGGGTCTGGAAATTCAGAATATTCCCTATCAAGATTTACTTCTCTTAAAAGAGAAATTGGCAATGCTGGATAACGCCTACAAAGCCTTATAGTATATGGCTCAGCCCTAGAAAGTCTCTTGAAGATCTGTCTCCAAGTCCTTCTGTAACACATAGAAGATGATGCATCTGTCAGAGGACAGGTGCTTGCTGAAGGTCCTCCCCAGTGATGGGATTCAAATATGTGAACAACCGGTTCTCTGTGTGGATTTCCAAAAGTCCATTCTGGGCCTGGGCAACAAAACGTTAACTACTAATTCTGTCAAAGTGGTGTGAACCGGCTGAATCCCACCACTGGTCCTCCCCTATCAGGAGATGTGATAGGAGGGAGCCAAAAGAGAACATTTTGTATGAAGGCTCCCTTGCTTTGAAACAAGTTGCCACCCAACTGGCCTGCTGGGATTTGGCTATTGCAGAAAGCCTTTAGGCCTTAAGTGCTGTAGAACTCCCAATTGCGGGAATAGAATACATCTTGTAATTTTTGCCATAACTTTATAGTGTATTTCTGTGTTGTGTGTTATATTGTTGATTTAGAGCAGTATTGACTGAAATGCTTATAAAATTCAATACTAAATGAATGGATAGTTGACTATGGTCTGTACATAACCCTTGAACTGCAACTATTTCTGGATCTCCAGATGATGGTGATAGTATGAAATACATTTTCAAACCTATATTTAGAGTGTTAGCTGTTTCCATTCATAGACCATTGCAATTTACTCCACATAAGTCTTGCCTTAATGAAAGTACAGAAACTTCAGATAACACAAAGTCAGCAATCAAATGAAAGTACAGTGATGTGATCCAATCGTGCCATGATGAAAGATCTGCTTTGGTTGTTCATTGCTATTTTAGCACAAATCACATGATTGTAGCCTTTAGAATTTAGATTGTGTAAGGATTAATTTGCTGATAGACTGCTTCTTCAATTACAGTCCTGTCTGGGCACTTAAATACTCAGTGGAAATCTATCTATCTGTATTTTCAAAGGTCTTTTGTTAAGCACATGGTAGACAGATTTCACCTACCTTCCTTCCAAATTATAAAATATATTCTCATGATCTTTCTAACTCTGTTAACAGTAGCAATAGCAATATTAGACTTATACACCACTTCACAGTGCTTTACAACACTCTCTGAGTGGTTTACAATGTTAGCATATTGCCCCCAACAATCTGGATCCTCATTTTACCTCATTTACCTTTCTTTTAGGAAATGAGTTAAATTTTACTTCTTTAGCTGAGGATTTAAATATGTTTTGGTTTGATTTTAATATTGATGTATTTATATTGTGGCCATACACATGTGTGCGTACGTGCACATGCATCTGAGTGTGTGTATATTGGATGGAAAGATGGAAGGAATATAAATGAAATAAATAAAAATAATATAAATCTAAAAATATATTTCATATAGTCAAGACTGTGGGATATGAAAGAATGGCTACTAGAAGTAATTTCATCTTCCTGATAGTCCAGTGATATGCTACTATTTTAAAGTCAGGTCACTTTCACTACTTATTGAGTAGCCAACTTCAAAGCAGTTACAGGCCCTCAGACAGAACAATCACATAGGTGAACATCAGCAGAGCTCTTCAGTCTGAGGCATTTCCTCAAAATATACAAAAGGGGAAAACAAGTTTAAAGGCTTTTTTTTTTTTTTAGCACACTTTGCTTAGACTAGCATCGTTAAATGGAAGAACATTTTCCTGAATCACATGTGGGATGGCTGGAGTGGAAAGAGTAGAGACTGAATTAGGGATGCTTAACACAGAGTTTTTTTAAGCGTATCTTTTCTCTGTAATGATTAAGATGATTGTGAATAAATATAGCACATATTTATTTTATACCAGGCAGCTCTAACTCTTTTAAAAGCAAAATCAGAATCTTTAAAAATAGTAAAAGAAAGGAAAAGAAACAGAGTCTTCAGGAAGTAGCTTGGACTACCATTTTTTTTCCTTGATAAGCTGGTTTTCCAGAGGTAGCAAGATTCTTGTAAAAAAGGAATATTTAATCACGTGATTTTGCCATGTTTCTTTATAAAACTGCTGAATAGGTAATAGTTTTTATATTTAAAGCCATACATAGTATGGGGTTAGAATATAAAGAAATACTAGAACATGAAAAAAAATGTGGATTATAAAACAGAGGTGACAGTTAAGGTGGAAATAGAAATGATAAGCCAAGAGAATGACTTGTTCAGGGACTCCTTACTGGATTTATAAAAGAAGTTTGTTAAAGCCCTGAGAAAGCCTCTGAGATGAAAAAAAAATGAAGAGAGATCAAACCCTATGAATGAAATAAACATTAAGATTTCTGGAAGCAAAAAGGAGTACAGTGTTGATTTATTTGACCAAGACTAAAATAAGATAAGTTTCTATAGAATTCTGAGAATTCTTTATGAACTTTTGCTGATACCAGGAATGAAAATGTTAATGATTTATGGATTTGCATATGGTTTATGGGAAAAAACAATGGAAACTAATCAAGGAGAGGAGCAACTGGAACTAAGGAGAAACTTCCGAACAGTGAGGACAATTAACCAGTGGAACAGCTTGGTCTCAGAAGTTGTGGGCGGGGCAAGAGTGGGGGCAGGCAGGGGGTGGGGCAGGGGGCGGGGCAGGGGCAGAGTGGGGCAGGGTAGGGGCAGGGTGGGTTTTGGGCACTCGGTTTGCCATCATTGGTATAGGGTCTCCTGCTTTAGCAGGAGGTTGGACTAGAAGACCTTCAAGGTCCATTCCAGTTCTATTCTGATTGAAGAAAAAATACTTGCATGTAACCTTATAAGGCAGAGGCCTCCAGCCTTTGGGGCACCAGGACCAGTTCCATGGAGAGAGGTTTTTCTGCAGACCAGATGGAGCACGGTTTTGTGTGCTGCCTGCATCCTAAGGATGGGGCTTTGCTTGTTTACGTAGCCTGGTTTCTGGTATGCCATGGCCCGGTGCCAGTCCATAGACCAAGGGTTGGGGACCCCTGTTAGAAGAGATGAAGAATTACCAAGTTTGTACTTGTTGTGATTAAGATTGGAAGTCACTTCTTTAAATATTTTGTTTGCTTATTTTTTACTTTTTCTTCCTTTCTTCCTCCCCCACTTTCTTGCACCTTCTGTTCTCTTTTTCTTTTCTGAGTTTAGTTTGTAGTTTCTTTTATTACTGTCTTTTTAAAAACTTCAATAAACATTATTAAATTTGCCTCCTTTAATGAGTGTCACAGCACTTTCACCACAACTAATCTTTAACCATTCAAACAAAAGTAATTGCAGGAACCAGAGCTGAGCCATTCAATTTTGATTTCCACTGTTGTTGTTCAGCAAATCACTTCAGTTGTTAAGTGAAACCCACGGTCGGTAAGTAAATCTGACTTCCCCCATGGGTTTTGCAACTCAGAAGCCAGTTAGGAAGGTTACAAATGATGATCACATGACTGCAGGACAGTGCAACTGTCATAAATACAGGTAGTCCTCAACTTATGACCATTATTGACCTCAGCGTTTCTGTTGTTAAGTGAGACATCTGTTAAGTGAGTTTTGCCCCATGTTACAACTTTTCTTGCTACAGTTGTTAAGTGAATCACTGCAGTTGTTAGGCTAGTAACATGGTTAAGTGAATCTGGCTTCTCCATTGACTTTGCTTGTCAGAAGGTTGCAAAAGATGATCACAGGGCCCCGGGACACTGCAACTATCAGAAATATGAACCAGTTGCCAACACCTGAATTTTGATGATGTGACTACAGGGATCCTGCAATTGACATAAGTGTGCAAAAAGGTCATAAGTCACTTTTTTCAGTGAAAATGAACAACAATGAACTGTTGTAAGTCAAGAACTACCTGTACATGCCAGTTGCCAAGTGCCCAAATTTTGATCATGTGACTATGGAGATGCTGCAGTAGTTGTAAGTATGAAAACTGCTCATCAGTCTCTTTTTTCAGTACCATTGTAACTTTGAATGGTCACTAAATGAATGAATGTAAGTCAAGGACTACCTATTTCAGGGGTAGGCAACCTTGGCTCTTTTATGACTCATGGACTTCAACTCCCAGAATTCCTGAGAAGACCCAAGGTTGCCTATTCCTGACCTATTTGAAGATTTCCATGGAAACAGTCTTTCAAGTACTGACTAATTTCAACTGCTGAAGAGAGAGAAAGAGATCCAGGCTGGTTTAGTGGCTAAAGGAACCAGACTAGAAACCAGGAGACCATGAGTTCTAGTCCTGCCTTAAGCATGAAGCCAGTGGAGTGGCTTTGTGCCATTATCTCCCTCGCTCAGTCCCAGAGAGAAATCCAGGGCTAATTCCCTCTAATAATCTTCCCAAGAAAATCACAAGGGCTGTGCAGGTAATTGACAGAATTCAAGAGTGATTTGA